TGTCCTGCAACATAGGTATCATTGCAGCCTTTTACAGAGGAGGAAACAGGGGCTCAGGGGACAGCAAGCGCACGTTCCCAAGATTGCACATGTAGCAGGACCATGCTGAGAGACAGTGTGAGGGGGATTTGTATCAATTTAGAGCTAGAAAGGAGTTCAGCCATACCTACCTTTCAGGGAGGCTTAAGAGTGAGAGCAAGTGAGATTAGGATTGACAGACAGGCAGAGAGAGAAGTGGGGGAGAGAGGGAGAGAGGGAGAAAGGAGAGTCCAGCGTTGTTGGAAAGGGAGGGCAGTGCGGTGTTGAGATAGCAGGATGATGCTGAGAGGGACAGAGGCAGGGCAGGGTGATGGACATGCGTGGGGAGCGGAAAGAGGCTGGCTTCAGAGTCAGGTGTCTGCACTTGACCCAGGCTGCGGAAACTTGGACCATTAACTTAACCTCCCTGAGCCTCATTTACTCATCGACAAAACAGCTGTTAATACTTCAGTCACAGGCTGGTCAGCAAGAGTAACTGACATAATATACAGGAAGGTACTTAGCACACAGCCAGCACTCCCCAAACACTTGTTTCCTCCCGGCTGAGCAGAAGAGGCCTGGCTAGCCTCACTTCTCATGACAACTAGCAAGTGTTAGGACAGTGCCCCTGCCAAGGGCCCTCAGACCAACCCTCCAGGGGCTTTTATGCCTCAGACGCCTCATTTGCATGCCCTGGTTGGAAACTGCTTGGTAGAGGAATGGAATGTTCTGGCCTCACCGATTTGATTTTCAAATCACTTCCCTCTGAGCAATATCCTCCCTGCAGGGCAGAGTCCCAACACTCGGTTACACCTACGGACTCGGCCTAGTGATATGGGACACTGAGACTGGAGGGAGGGAAGGGGCTCACCCCACCCTTTCCACACCTTACTCCCAGTATGCAGGTTTCTAGAAACCGGGTTAAGAAGCTGCAGATTTGGAGAGATGTCAGGGGTGGCTATGGGGCGCCTGTAGGGAGAGGGCAGGATTCCTGCTCTGGCCGGGGTCGGTGGGGAGGTTGTTGTGTGTGCTGGTAGAGTCTTGGTCCCTATTTCTTACCCCAGTTGGCTCTCTCAGGCTTCTGTCCCCAGGGAGAAGAGCTGCCACATCAAGCCTCAGGAACTCTCCTTTGACCCTGAACTGCCCACTTCCCTTCTTTCCTGACGGCGCCAGCAGAGGGCACCAGGAGCCACGCAGGAGCTGCGGGACGTCCTGGCCACAGGGATGCCGCCCTCAGCCAGCCTCACCTGAGGATGGAACAGGGGGCTGCCTGGTTGCAGCGATCCTTCAGAGAGCAGTCCCTGCTGCCTTGCACAAAACGCCTCTGAGATCAGAAGCCCTTTCATGGAGAGCAGGTTTCAATTTCCAGTTCTTTTCGGGACGGGAAGCAGAGGGACTTGTGGGCATTTATGTGGAATTGCAACTGAGAAAATTGAGGCTCAGAGTGTTTAAGTCACTTGCCTGACATCATCCAGCTGGTAGGGTTTGCACCTAGATCGGCCTGACTTCAGAGCCACACTCTTCTCAGCATTGCTGTTCTGTCTGATTATGAATGGTGCATCTTAGACAGCAGGCTCGCCCAAGAAGGTAGCAGGCCCTCTGAGAGGAGGCTGTGGGGCATGCCAGCCTGTCCAAGCCCCTTTCCCAGGCTCCGCCCATACCCTCCTCTCCTCAGGCCATCTTATAACGGAAGGGCTGAATCTCCCTGACAGTGCCATCCTGCTCTCAGCCCAGAAAGACTCTTTGAACAGTCACCTTCCCCTCCATTCAGAGGCTTCTTAGCTCTGGAACAAGGAAAAAATTTAAATGATTCCCAGAGCATTATGTGCAATGGAGGCACCAAGTTACTGTTGGAAACCATGGCTCCACAAAACCCCTCTCGTGATGCTGTGGTCCAGTGTTCCCTGAGAGAGAACCCCGAGCCACCAGGATGTGGGTGGCAGATGTGATGATCATGCAGATGGGCTGCCACAGTAGGAAACCGAAAAGCAGCTCTATCCAGTGCCCTGGTGTGCCCCTGGGTGAGGGTGGGGCAGAGGCTGTGCACTGGGTCTGAGGTCTTAGGAAGTCCATCTTCCTTATGTCCCTCTTCAGGGCACTTTCGGTCTCAGATGAGTGAAAAATGAGTTGGAGGGCTGGGTGCGGTGTCTCATGCCTGTGATCCCAGCACTTTGGGAGGCCGAGGTGGGCGGATCATGAGGTCAAGAGATCGAGACCATCCTGGCCAACATAGTGAAACCCTGTCTCTATTAAAATACAAAAATTTGTTGGGTATGGTGGCATGCACCTTTAGTCCCAGCTACTCGGGAGGCTGAGGCAGGAGAATTGCTTGACGCTGGGAGATGGAGGTTGTAGTGAGCTAAGATCATGCCATTGCATTCCAGTCTGGCACCTGGCGAAAGAGCAAGACTCTGACTCAGAAAAAAAAAAATGAGTTGGAGGTGAAAGAAGTTCTCTGGGCAAACCATTTAGTTCCCAGACGCAGGTTGTCCTGTGGAGGTAATGACCATCTCCATTTTACAGATGGGGAAGTGGGGGCTCAGAGAGGAGAAAGACTTGCTTGAAGTCACACAGGGAGAAGTCTCTGAACAAGGAGAGCCTATGGCTTCTTTTTTTTTTTTTTTTTGAGACGGAGTTTCGCTCTTCTTACCCAGGCTGGAGTGCAATGCCGCAATCTCGGCTCACCGCAACCTCCGACTCCTGGGTTCAGGCAATTCTCCTGCCTCAGCCTCCTGAGTAGCTGGGATTACAGGAATGTGCCACCATGCCCAGCTAATTTTTGTATTTTTAGTAGAGACGGGGTTTCACCATGTTGACCAGGATGGTCTCAATCTCTTGACCTTGTGATCCACCCGCCTCGGCCTCCCAAAGTGCTGGGATTACAGGCATGAGCCACCGCGCCTGGCAAGCCTGTGGCTTCTAAGCTGCTGCTGTTGTCACTGCCTTCCAGTGTTCCCATACCCGGCAGGGACAATAATGAAAGTAACTTTTTCCGACCAAGTCACCATGTGAGTTTCTGGTTGCTGATGTGACAAATCACCACCGACTCACTAGCTTTAAACAACACACATTTATTACAACAACATACAAAGAACTGTATTGTCGTACTAGCTTTAAACAACACACATTTATTACAACAACATACCAAGAACTGTATTATCGTACAGTTCTTTGGGTCAGAAGTCTTAGTGGGAGGAAATCAAGGTGTTACTGGAAAGAGGGGTCTTTATCCAGACCACTGGATTTATAGGCGCCCACCACCGTGCCCAGATAATTTTTGTATTTTGAGTAGAGACAGGATTTCACCATGTTGGTCAGGCTGGTCTCAAACTCCTGACCTCGTGATCTGCCTGCCTTGGCCTCCCAAAGTGCTGGGATTACAGGCATGAGCCACAGAGCCTCATCAAGTTTTTCTTATGTAGGGATCTTGTCTCCGCAAAGACTAAGCCAAACCTGTGCCTACCTGCAGTGGGCTGACAGCATGATACTTAGTACTCTACTGATTTAAAGAAAGCGATCCCTGACATTTTCCTATGTGAGCACACCAGAACCCAGCTGGAATTATTCTGTAAGCGTTTACTGTTAGGGGTATTGAGGCATCTGGACTTTCTGCCGTTGGAGGAGTTTGACCTTGCAGGTATTACCAAGCTGCTTCCTTAGCTGTAAACATCTTAGGACCATGGGTTGTGGCTGGCAAGGAATGTGCCTTGCTAGTTTTAAGATGGCGTTGATTTTACCTATTTATTTATTTTTGAGACAGACTCTGACTCTGTCACCCCAACTGGAGTGCAGTGGTGCAGTCTCGGCTCACTGTAACCTCGGCCTCCCAGGCTCAAGCAGTTCTCCCACCTCAGCCTCCCAAGTAGCTGGGATTACTGGTGCATGCCACCACTGCCCGGCTAATTTTTGTATTTTTAGTAGAGAAGGGGTTTCATCACGTTGGCCAGGCTGGTCTTGAACTCTTGATCTCAAATGATCCACTGGCCTCAGACTCCCAAAGTGCTGGGATTACAGGTGTGAGCCACTGCGCCCAGCCAAGATGGAGTTGATTTTAAAATGGTGTCACTCTGGCTCTCCTAGGCTCCTGCGTCCCTAACAAAGGTGTTGGCAGGGCTGGCTCCTCCTGAAGGCTCTGAGGGACAATGTATTTCCTTGGCTCTGGCTGTGCCAGCTTCTAGGAGCAAGAAAGGCCTGCATCCCTTGGCTCACGGCTCCTTCCTCCATCCTCAAAGCCGTCAGCATGATGTCTTCCAGTCCTTCTCTGACCCTCCTGCCTCCCTGTTATAAGGACTCTTGTGATTTGATTGGGCCCACCTGAACAATCCCCCATCTCCAGGTCCTTAACTAATCACCCGTGCAAAGTCCCCTTTGCTCTGTAAAGTAACAGCTAGGGCCTGGGGACTTGGACAGGGATAGCTTTGGGGGCCATTATTCTTCCTATCACAGTCACCCTGTGGGTTAGGAAAAAAAGGTGTCAGGCAAGCAACCTGACCATAGCGAGCAGCAGAGTCCTCAGAGCCTGGCAAGATCGGTCTCTCAGGTGGTGAGACCGTGTACGGAGAGAGTGTGCCAGAGCAGGCAGGGACCCTGGGGCTGAGACCGGCTCATTGTCCACCAAGACCTACCTCCTTTCTTCCTGGGCTGGCTCTGAGACTCCACTGGCAGCCTCCCGTTAGGTTACGTGGACATAAACCCCCATGGCTCCAGGCTTCCACTCTTCCTTCATCTTTAGGGTGGACACGGCCCCAGGCTGATCTAAGCATAAGAGACAGCTAGGGTATTGCCAGATATTGGTTCCCAGCTGTCCCCTGGAACAAGACTGAATGTTAACAAGTGCCCAGAGATCCTGGTGAGCTGAGAGTTTGGGAGACACTGCAGCAGATCGCAGTGTGGCTGCATGACTCCCTGCAGCAGGATGGGCATAGGGAATTCATAGGAAGGCAATGTGGGGAGCATGCCCCCACCCCTGTGATGGAGTCAGCTTGGCCTGTGGGCTGTCTGTGTTGATGGAGTCTGGCCGGCAGAAATGAAAAGTGTCTGTTTTCCTGTATCTGATGGAGGTATCTACTTTGAGCAGCTCACTTTTCTCCCCCGACCAAGAGGGTTACCCGGGCCAGGTGAAGGCAAGTGAGGAAGCATTGAGTCAGGGCATTGCTGCGTGTGTCAGCACAGAGCCAGGCTACCCAGAGCCTTGCAGCACCCCAGAAGCATTCACAAGCTGCCCAATAGGAAGGGATGGGAGGACTCCAAATAAGACGGGAGGACTCTGGAATGGGATGCATGCAGCCTTGCCCCTCTGAACCTCAGCTCACCTCTGCAGGGCTACAGTGGCAGGGGATTGGTTCCCTGGGAGTGCTCACAGCCATTCAACAGGTCTGAGAAGAAAGGCTGAGAGAGTGAAGGGCTCTGTCCCCCAGTCTCAGGCCGGTTCCCCAGGCCGAGCTGTCCCCACACTACCTCTCCACTCAACGAGCATGCCACTGTGCCCAGACAGAGCTCTGGGGCTGCACCTGCACTCCAGGGTCTGTGACACACGAAGCTATCTGCCCCCTGCAGCGCCCTCTACCCTCCAGCCCCCACATCAACAGAGACTGAGCATCGACCTTCACAGGGGGCAGCCCCAGGAAGGTCAGGGACAATTCTACCCCAGATGTCTAATTTCATCCTCAAATGTCCCCACACTCCTACTCGGGCAGGACAAGCCTTGAACGTGCCGCATCTTCCAGGCGGCCCTCCCAGTCCCCAGCCTGGCCTCTGGAGCCACCACCATGGTGGGACTTACAGAGACCAGAGAACAGTGCATCCCACATCCCGCTGTTCCTTGTGTCTGCAGCCCACCTCTCCAAACTCAGCACTGAGGCTACCAGAAAAAGAAGCCAGTAGAACCCCAGTACCTCCCGGAAAATCCAGCAGAAATCCACATTTTTGCCCATGCACTGCCACCTGCTGGCCAGCAGGTGTGGAGTTGCTGAGAGGCTAGAGGCAGAATGGAGGTGGAGGCTGTGGAAGTTTCACCTTCCAGCTCCGCCTCTCCTGCGCACAGGACTAGGGTCCCGTCCCTGGGGGTGTGACTGACCCCCCACATTTCCCCTCTGCTGCTCCTGTCAAATCCATCTCGCATGCTGTGGCCTTGTTGAAAAGACTCTGTTAAAATAACTCACATGGAGGTGTTGTGACTGATGATGACTTTAATTATATCTTTTACCCAGCCCCTCTGAGAAAAAAAAAATTGGAATCCAGGTTGGACCATGTTTACCTCCAAATAAATGACTCTCTAATTGTGGAGTTTCGGGCTCTGCATTGGTGTTTTGGACAGGCAGGGCTCTTCCTAAGCATCCCTGGATCTCTGATTTACCCTGAGTGAGAGGTTGAGTCAGTAGGGCATATATTGTACCTGTCACCTCAGGATGTCATAAAGGAATAGAATATTAGAGTTGGCAGTGACCTTAGAGACCCAGCCATTGCACAGGTGAATCAAGAAAGGGAAGGGATTTGCCCACAGGGAACAGACTGGAAGGAGAATCTCTCCCCAAAACTGACAGACATTCTGAGAATTTTAAGGGGAAGCATGATATTCAAATCCCAGAGAGCAGTCTTGCTCCCCCAATCCCATTATCCCCTATTCCTTCCCAAGGATGACATAAGGGCTGGGCAGAGGGAGGCATCACTGGCACAGAGAGAGCCCCCTGCCTCCTCCAGCTCAGTGTCTGTTCTTCCGTCCATACCTGCCTGTGGGATGTGATCCAGCTCACGGCTCTTCTCCAGAAGGGTTGGAGAGGAATTTTGTCTCATTTTCCATCTTTTTATCTCTCTCAGCTACATTATGGATGATTCCAACTTTTTAAAAAAATTTATGAATTCCTTTGCAAATGTTTCTAATCTGATGTTTATACCTTTTTTTACTTTCAAAATTTAATAATTTTATTTTTCATTTTGAGATGTATTTGGTGTCAAATCCGTTTGGTCATCTTGGATAACTTTGTGTTCCCTGCATGTGTTTTTAATTTCCCCTTTTATTCCTGTAAACACTGAAAACACAACTTTGAATTCTGTTCCCAATAATCCCATAATTGTGACATCTTTGGTGATCTAATTCTGAATCTGCTGCTCCTACTGACACTTACTCTGAAAGACTGTTTTTCTTGTGGAGGCTCAATTTTTATTGCGAGCTCATGTTTTGCAGATATCAGTCTGTGGGAATTCTGAGAGGCCTGGGCTGAGGGTTAGCCCTCTGGAGAGATCTGTTTTGATTTCTATCAGGAGCCCTGGAGTACTTGCTTCCATCCTGGAAACACACTAAAATATTTCTTTCTCTCGGATATTCTTCAGGGAGTGCAAATCCATACCCAAAATCCATGTAAGGACAGTCTTTAAATTTTCAGGGGGAGGGAAGAGTAAAATATCTCTCTTCTTTTTCCTCTTCCTTCTCTTCTTCCACCTTCTCTCTTTCTCTTTTTTAAGACAAAGCCAAGACCAAGACAGACACATTTTCTTGTTAGTTTCTTTTTCTATGCCATCTTTTTTTTAAAGAGTTAGCTTTTCAAGGATTCTAGCTTTTTCTAAGAGTCTCAGTCCTGACACTCCATCTTGCCGGCATGAGGCCAGGGCCTTGCCTTGTCTGTTTTGTATGGCTGTTAAAACCAGTGACTGCAGGTTTCAGATATTTCCAGGTACTTCTAGGGCAGCCCACAGCATCAGGGGTCATTTACCTTTCTGGGTTTCAGCCTCTTCTTTGTTTTTGGCCTTAGTGAGTTTCCTTACTTTCTTATACGTTCACGTTCAGGGAGTCATTTAAAATATGTTTGCTTTATTTCAATCAACATGTCCAGGTATTTGTAGTGGAATTAATTTTCTTCCCAGAACATTTAGTCTAGAAGTGGAAGTCCTGATTTTATATTTAAATGTTTGAATGTTTGCTGCATGTGAAAAGTTTAACCAACTGTGAAGCGCGAGGGAACACAACCCACACAGGAGATCACCCTCACTTCCAACGCCAGTGACAAGTTTAGGGGTTCTCAAGGCCACCTCTTTTGATACCCATTGCAAAGTTGGAGAGGCCAGTTCCCCAAACCACTCAGTTTTGATAATTTGCTAGGAAGACTCATAGAGCTAACTGGGAGATGTTAGGCTCATCTTATACTCATGGGTGCAGATGAGCATCAGCCAAAAGAGGTTGCTCACAGGTGTGTCTGGACCATGCCTAGCTGCTGTGGTCCTCCCTGTGGGGTCAGCCTCCTGTTCCCAGCATCCATGTGTGGCAGAATGTGGGAGTGCTGGCAACCAGGGAGGTTCACTTGAACCTCAGTGTCCAGAGTTTTCCTTGGGCCTCATGGCATAAGCATGGCAGACGGTTCACATACTGGTCTCTCTTTGCAGCCTGTGGCTTCTCTGGATGTGACTCAAAACCTTTACCTTACATTGTTGGACTTTCTAGTTTGACCAGTCCTTACCTGAAATCACATCGTTAGCTATTCAGTGTAAATACAATCCGACAGTCTTAGAGCTTAAAGGTTCACTCCCATAAGCTGAAAGCAAAAGCCAGACCTTTTTTTGGGCAAGGTTAAATTATTTATACAGATCAGTTTTTTTGAGACAGAGTCTCTCTCTATCGCCAGGCTGGAGTGCAGTGGCTCACTACAACCTTGACCTCCTGGGCTTAATGGATCTTCCCACCTTAGCCTCCCTAGCAGCTGGGACTACACGTGCACCACCATGCCTGGCTAGATTTTGCATTTTTTGTAGAGATGTGGTTTTGCTGTGTTGCTCAGGCTGGTCTCAAACTTCTAGCCTCAAGTGATCCACCTGTCTCTGGCCTCCCAAAGTACTGGGATTACAGGTGTGAGCCACCACCAGACTACTATTTTGTCACACTTCTCTATTCTAGAGTTCTTCATTTTGATTCACTTTGTTAAATTAAAAAAAAAAAAAATCAGAGAAAAGGTATCACTGTACCCCAGGCTGGAGTGCAGTGGTACAATCATAGCTCACTGCAGCCTCACGCTCTCAGGCTCAAGCCATCCTTCCACCTCAGCCTCTCGAGTAGCTGGGACCACAGGCATGCACCCCATGATGAGTAACTTTTTTTTTTTTTTTTTTTTTAAGAGACAGGGTCTCACTATGTTGTCCAGGCTGGTTTTCAACTCCTGGCCCCAAGTGGTCCTCCTGCCTCTGCCTCCCAAGTACTGGGATTGCAGGCATGAACCATTCCTCTGGCCCCTCTCTTCTTTTCCTTTTGTAAGCTCTTCTTGTTTACCTTTCCCCTCTTTGGCATGTAATCTTATCTCTCTGCTCCAATCTCTTTCATGTCTGCTTTAAGCCTCCTCTCCTAAGGAGCCATGTTATCTTTCCTGGTTTTAAATGAAGAATTATGTATCTGATTTCTCCTTTACTCTGTTCCCCAGGGGTCCCTGGGAGGTTCCTCTTCTAATGCAGTGTTTACTTGCCTTTTGCTCATCCTCCCGTCTTCTGGCTAGGATGCAGCTTTTTTTTTTTTTTGACAGGGTCACTCTGTCACCCAGGCTGGAGTACAGTGGCACACTTTCAGCTCACTGTAGCCTTGACCTCCCAGGCTCAAGTGATCCTCCCACCTCAGCCTCCTGAGTAGCAGGGACTACAGGCATGTATGACCACACCCAACTAATTTTAGTTTATTTTTTGTTGTAGAAACAGGGTCTTGTCATATGGCCCAGGCTGCTCTTGAACTCCTGGGCTAGAGTGACCCGCCTGCCTCTGCCTTCCAAACTACTGAGATTACAGGTGTGAGCCACCACGTGTGTCCTGGTGAAGCATTTTTGAGTGGGAAGCATTTTGAGTGGCCTCTTCACCTTAAGAACTTTGTAGATCCTATGCCATTGTCAGTGAGGTTCCTCCACCTGGACTCACCTCCCCCGACTTTGAGGCTGGTCATGGAGGATTAATGGGGACACTAATGCCCTTGCAGACACTGCCGTTGGCCCTCTTGGTCTCTTGCAGCACTGCTCGTGTGTGGCCACTGCACTCTCCTGGTCCTTTTCCCTTCTCTCTCTGCCTTTCCTCTTTTGGCTCCTTCCTTCTCTCTGTCTCTTTCCCTGTAAGGTTCTTGGACAGCATTGTTTGAGAGTGGGGGGCAGAGGCAATGCAGGGAGTGGTTAGGAACTGGTGTGCCAGCAAACGGCCTGGCAGGATCCTGGCCCTGCCACCCACAGGAAGGGCTGGTTATTAGGTGTGTTATGAGCCTCCCCTCCCAGCTTCCTCCTCAGAGGCCTACGATCAAGATGAAAGGAGGGCAAATGTGCTGCATGCAAAATGCACCGCTATTATAGGTAGGTAGACAGGCATGAGCGGGGGCAGGAGAGGGCTCTCTCCCCACCCACCAGGAATGTCAAGTGATGGTTCCCCAGTGATCACACTGCCTCTCTAAAAGTGATACACTGGCAGCCAGTGCCAGGGAGAGGCCATTTCCTAACAGTCCACACCTGTGCACTAAAACATTAGTTAAATGTAGGCACCCGGGAGAAACAACTTCCCAAGCATGGGCATTAAGAGACAAAATGGCAAAGTATGAGCTTCCGGGGGCACGCCACCGCCACCGGAAGAGGGAAGAAAGCCTCAGATGGGCATGCGTACAACTTAAACGCACCGCGTGCTTGCCTCCCAAGGGAAGGGCGAATACTGCGCATGCGGGCAGCCCGCCCTAAGTGAAGAATCATGGGAAAGGGGCCAGTCTAGAAAGTCCTAGGGTCAAAGTTAAACGTTGCACATGACCTTGGTGCCTTCCAAGTGCGCTTAATTTTCTTTCCGGTTTTAAAGCCTTTTAAAGTAAACCTCCACTCCTGCTTTGAAACTTACCTCGGTCTCTTCTGCCTTGTGCCCCTCAGTGGACTTCTTTCTTCTGAGGAGGCAAGAATTGAGGTTGCGGGATCCTGTAGGGATTTGCCGCAGGTGACTTGGGTATCTTTCACTGGTCACACTGCCTGGCACACGGCACGTGATGAAGATGGAGCACTGATTCTTTTTATTGTCAATTCACTGGCTGTCTGGACCCTCTATTTGAGCTCTGATTTCTAACCAACTGATTTGTTCCATCCTCTACTTTTTTCTGCACATAAACTTCTTATGGGCAATGACCTGCCGTATGCATCCCAGAGCCTGTCTCCATGCCCGCTGCAGAGGCCTCTCTGGGTATTGCTGAGTGGGCTGACTCAGAGGCAGTGCTGGGCAGGGGAGGTGCCCACCTTGTCCCCATTCTGGCGAGAGCCTGTGCCTGCAGGGAGACGCTCCTGTTGCTTACTGCAGCTGCCTCCTCACTCAGCCTCACCGAAGCATCTGGCAGGACCCCCAACACCTTCTTCCCCAGTCTCTGCCCCACCTGCCTTCTCGGCAGGCTGTCTGCATGGCTCTGCCTGGGCTTCAGGTTCCAGGCTTCTGTCAAGGTGGGGGAGGATCCCAGCTGCAGGATAGACACAGGCAGGTATGGGTACCTCACTGGCATTAGGTCATAGGTTTCCTGAGCCTGGGCCTCTGAGGCAGAGAGCTCAAGCTGTCCCCTCCCCTCAGCCTCCCGCAGCAGCCTGTCCTGGGGCCTCTGGCCTGGACAACTCCGAGCCTACATCATAGAGTGGCATGATGAATGAAGCTATAGCCAGCTGAAATCTGGCTAAGAGTTAGGTTGACTTCAAGGGGCCCCTTGGGAGTTCCTGGGAGGTGGCCAAAAGTTGCAATCAGCTGCCCAGACATCTGTGTGTGTGTGTGGGGGGGGGGGCACATATAGGCTCAGGGAGGCAGGAGGAAGGGAGCCTGATGGGCCCTGGGATGTGCCATTTCCCCTGCCAGAAGCCTACCTGCCTCACCCAAGCTTGCCGCGTTGTGCTGGGAAAGGATGGTCTTGGCTCCGGCCTCTTTCCTCCTCTCCTGTGGAGAGAACATGGGTCCTGGAAGGCACTGAGCTCCCTGTGCTCAGCCCTGCTCAGCCCTTCCACCAGTTACCTGTCCGGTGGGCACACTGAAGCAGCTTTCCCCAAATCAGAGGCTCAGAGAGGTGAGCGATGCACCCACCCTGCACAGCTGGCAGGAGGTGCACTGGGGCTCCCACACAGACTGGTCTTCAGGCCCCTGGCCGCATCCATCATTCCTGCCTCTGTTCCTGTCCTTCAGGGGCCTGGCCAGCTGGGCACATCAGCTTAGGGCTGTGACCCCCCCTAGGGGCCTGAAAGTGTTTTAATTTTTTTTTTCCCTAACACGGAGTCTCACTGTCACCCAGGCTGGAGTTCAGTGGTGTGGTCTCAGCTTACTACAACCTCTACCTCCTGGGTTCAAGTAATTCTCCTGCCTCAGCCTCCGGAGTAGCTGGGACTACAGGCCCTCTCCACCATAACTGGCTAACTTTTGTATTTTTAGTAGAGACCGAGTTTCACCATGTTGGTCAGGCTGGTCTCGAACTCATGACCTCATGATCTGACTGCCTCAGCCTCCCAAAGTACTAGGATTACAGGTGTGAGCCTAAGTGTTTTAATTTTAAAGTCTTTTAAAATCAAAGGAAAAAAGAATATGGGAATGAACATATGCAAATGAACTCAGCCTAATTATATTTGTATTTAAACCAATACAATCATAAAATGTGATATTTTCTACTTAAAGTGCCTGGAGCCAAAGGTGGTAATAGGACGCTGGTCCCTCTTCACTGCCACCACTCCTCCAGCCCACCCGCTCTCAGCCTCAGAATGGGGCTTGTTAGACCTTCGGTTTGCCTGGGCTGTGGGTGCAGCCCCTGGGGCAGCTCACACCTTAGCAGGAAGCAGTCTCAGTTTTGTGAGGGGGTCAGCCCTGCCGGGAGCAGCTAGGATAAGCAGAAAGAGATTTGTGCAGAAGTCCCAGCTTCGGCTTCGTATGTGTCCCTCCTCCTTGGGTTTAGGGATGTTCTGGGGTGTTTAAAGTATGAGTGGGCTGTCCCCACCAAGAATCAACTTCCGTAAAGGATGGGGGACTCGCCTGGGAAATAACTGACTGCAAGGGGAGAGAGAGCAGCCCGCCCTTGCTTGGCTGTAGTAAAACGGGCCAGGCAGATTGGAGGAGAGAGTGGGAGACAGCAACTCAGGTCATCTCACCTGCGACCCTCCTGTGCACTCACCTGAGAGAGTGGTCAGGGGCGACCAATCGATCCAAGCACGCATGGTGGCTGTGGACCCTCATCCATGTGTCCCATGCCCTGGAGCCCTGGAGAGTGGCCTCCCATGTGGCTTTAGGAGCTGGCATCCCGTTGAGTTTTCATGTGATGTGGGACTGGTGTTGGAAGATATGGTGCCTTTTTCAGGGGCAGCCCCAGCTCTGGCCAAAGAACAGCCCACAGAGGTGATCTCTTGGGGGTGGGGGTCAGGACAGACAGAGAGATGGACAGACGGACAGGTGGGGGAGGCCCAGATCTGCCACCTCGAGGAGGCTCCTGGGGAGCATGGCACCATTCAGTTTCCCAGGCCTGCTCCGGATCACTGAGCAGAACCTCAGGGAAGCGCCAGGAACCCCGCTAAATGTGGGAAGCACTGCTCTGTAACTTCTTATCCATCTTCCCTCTACATCCCCAACCCTGTGGGGAGGGCCCCTGCTCCTCCTATGATTCTGATGACAAAACTGTGGCTCAGAGGTATGAAATGCTGGGTCCAGAGGCCACAGTTGGCAAAAGACAAAATGAGGATGTGACCAGGTCTGGCCACCTCCCGAGTCCATGTACCACAGGGCCCTGGCCATTCCCAGGCTGGGAGAGGCGCATGTGAGCCATGCTTTGTGAGTGACTGTGGAGTCGGGCCATTCTGGGGGCTGCTTCATGCAGGGACTGTGGGGATGCACTCAGGCCACAGGGGATGGGGAGTGTAGCTCGCATGTGAACCCTGCTTTCCTGTCATCAGCCAGCTGTGCGACCTTGAGCAGGTAATAACCCTTCCCAAGTCTCATCCCTCCATCTGTAAAATGGAGGTGGAGGGGACGATACATCACAGGGTTTTGGGGAGAGGAGATCAAGCTCAGAGCCCAGCTCACTGCCAGCTAAAGGGGGTTTGGCGAGCAGTGACAAGCTGGGAAGGGGACACTCTCTTCTTCAGGGCCCTCCTCCACTCTGGTGTCTCTTCCTTGCCTTTTATTCATTCCCTTTCCTGTAATCCCTAGTCCTTCTAACCTCATCCAAATCCAAGATGCCTGGAGTGGGGAACGGGGTGGAAGAGGAGCTAAACATCTCCCCCCGCTCTGCCAGCTCCCCCTTCCCTTTGCCCCTCACCTCATGGCACCAGGTGGGTCAGACCCAGCTGGAGGAGCAAGACTGTTTTGAACAGAAACAGGGGCTCCCTAAAGAATTCTGAGAAGATGCCTTAAAGGGGAATTCCCTGGCTCTGATGTCATTTCAGTATTTCCTGGGGGAGCTGCACCTGCTCTTATTCCAACACCTTCTATAAGAGGCTCAGCCTTCACCCTTGATGAGATGGAAGGCAAGGGCAACTGCCATATGTAGAGCACAGTCTAAAATCCTTGCGCACAAAGCCGGGGGCACTTTGGCAGAGGTCCAGTGGGCTTGCTGGATGAGAAAGCCCAGGAGCTGCATCTGCTTCCCTTGGCCAGAGAGCGGCAGCCTGTGGGATGCAGGTGGTCTGACTTTTCTCTGTCCTCGGGGCTCTGCTGGTTCTACCAAACTGGGCCCTGGAGTCAGGGGCCCTGGGGTCAGATCCTGGCTTTGACCTTGACCCTGAAGGCAGAGTGCCCTGGTAATGAAGAACTCCAGGGTCAGAGTCCGAGAGATCTGGGTTCAAACCCCAGGTCTGTCAGTCAGTAGCTGAGTGACATTGAGCAAACCCCTGAGCCTTCAAATACCTTCCTCCTGGGCTTGTAAGGATGCTTAAGTGAGATTTTAAAGCTTCTGGTGTCCAGATGAAGTACAGCTGATATCCAAGATGCTTTACCCCCTCCCTCCCTTCAAAGATCCCCAATACCCTGCCACCCCCACTAAGGGCCGAACTGCGAGACATCAGGGTTACAATCCTGGCTGATGCCGCCCTCTAGTGGCAGGGTGCAGCAACACAAACCATCACTGCAAACAGGAGCATTTCACCTCCTCCTGGAATTGTCTGAACAATGGTTTGTGGTCCAAAAAAACCATGACTTCTTACTAAAGTTAGGAATACTGTATATAATACTACATGAAGGTCCATTTTTAAAACATTTCCAATACATACACATTGACAAGTTCTTTGTTTGTTGTTCTTGACGCAGGGTCTCTCTCTGTTGCCCAAGCTGGAGTGCAGTGGCGCGATCACGGCTCACTGCAGCCTCAAAATCCAGGACTCCGGGGATTCTCTCACTTCCCTCCCAAGTATCTAAGACCACATGCATGTCATGCCCAGCTTATTTTTAAAACAATTTTTTTTGTGAGGGTACACATGGGGGTCTCACTTTGTTGCCCAGGCTGGTCTCAAACTCCTAGCCTCAAGGGACCCTTCTGCCTTGACCTCCCAAAGCAAAGGATTACAGGTGTGAGCCACTGCACCTGGCCAACAAGTTCTTAATATTGATATTTTTTCTCCAAATATTTCCATGTGAGATTGGCTTGCCATTAACACCTTGAATTTCTCCTTTCTTTCCTTCCTTCCTTCCTTCCTTCCTTCCTTCCTTCCTTCCTTCCTTCCTTCCTTCCTCCCTCCCTCCCTCCCTCCCTCCCTCCCTCCCTCCCTTTCTTTTTTCTTTCTTTTTCTTGAGATGGAGTTTGGCTCTTGTTGCCCAGGTTGGAGTGCGATGAAGCAATCTCGGTTCACTGCAACCTCCACCTCCTGGGTTCAAGCGATTCTCCTGCCTCAGCCTGAGTAGCTGGGATTACAGGCATGCACCAGCACACACTCAAACAATTTTGTATTTTTAGTAGAGGCAGGGTTTCTCCATATTGGTCAGGCTGGTCTTGAACTCCCGACCTCAGGTGATCTGCCCACCTCAGCCTCTCAAAGTGCTGGAATTACAGGCATGAGCCACCACACCTGGCTACACCTTGAATTTCTTACCTACTGGAAAACCCAGCGGCTTCCTCTTCACTGTTTGGAGCCAACGTGGCCCCTTGGCTAAGTCACTGTATTTGGCTGAGGGTTGATGACAGTCGCAAGAAGGGCGGGAGGGTGAGGGGTCTGCTCATCCACCCATGTGCGGCCTTTTGGAAGAGTCTGTTTTGGGTGGTGACCAAGTGCTGATGCAGCAGCAACGTGGCCCCTCGGTGGTGCCGCTGCCCTCATAGCTCACATTCCCCCTTCTCCTCCCGGGATTTAGAGCTCCCACTCATCATTTGGCTGAAGTGTCAAGGATTTCCTCTCCTGGAGGAAATGAACTTGCACTTTACACTTCACACCTATAGAAATTTAATCATCCGCCAGTTGTCGGCATGACAGAGAGATGGCTGCCAGCCCCAATCCCTTCTATAAAATACGGCCTTCCCTGTAAATCTAGGGGGCTGGAGGAGGAGGCTTTGACCTCAGTAAAGGGCTGGTCCTTCTAAGTGTGCCTCTGGATACAAGCCCTGGAGTCAATCGGTGGGTAGAAACTGACAGCCAGCAGGCATGACCAAGGGAAGAGAAGCCTGGCAGCATGCACTGGTGTCCTTCAGGCCACCCAAGGTGTCCCCAAGGCCCCTCCCTTCACCTCAGTGGACTGTGGAGCCAGGCGCCTAGGGTCCAACCCTGCTCCACCATTGGGTAGCTTTGGGCAAGTCACGTAATCATTTTGTCCTTCAATACAACAATATCAGAGCCAGGCGCGGACTGGGAGGCTGAGGTGGGTGAATCGTACGTAGGTCAGGAGTTCGAGACTAGCCTGGTCAACATGGTGAAACCCTGTCTCTACTAATCATACAAAAATTAGCTGGCATTAATGGCATGTGCCTGTAATCTCAGCTACTCCGGAGGCTGAGGCAGGAGAATTGCTTGAGCCTGGGAGGCAGAGGTTGCAGTGAGCTGAGATCGTGCCATTGCACTCCAGTTCAAGCGACAGAGTGAGACCCTGTCTCAAACAAAACAAAAACAAAATGAAAAACAGTATCAGGTTATTGACAGCATTAAATGAGTTAATACACTGTGGGAGGTAGAAAAGTTCCTCTTTACAGTTTCCCTTCTTGTTAAGAATCAATCATAAGTGTGCTAATAGCTCTTAGTTAAGCCCTATCCTACGCGGCGTAGAGACATGCCATGCTTACAGGCACCTAGTACATTCTGTGTCCTGGTACCAAGGCGTCTGTGCTGGACGTGCTCACAGGCATGTCCCAGCTCTCCATTGCTTTTACCTGTTTAGAAAAGTTTTAAGTTGTTAGCCAACTGGGTTTTAGTTTAGATTGTGAGGTCTGACTCCAGCCAATGGAGACCAGATACAGCAGTACGCACGACCCCAAATGCAGAAGGGACAAATGTGTCTGTTTTCCTTTGTTCATTGTACTCTCTGGCAAAATGGCTAGTGAGAGTACCCTTCTTCCTGCAGTCCAGGAAGTAAAAATTGCCTTGCTGAAAATCCTTTGTCTCAGTGCTGATTTTTCTTTGCGGCACTGAGTATCTGCTTCCAACATGCAGTGAATACAGTAAGCACTCAATAATTGTTACCATTTCTATTAATGTGATTTCTTTACCATCATCAGGCCTTCATCATCTGTCTCCATGTAAGTGCCACTGTCTCCCTGCTGGCCACTGCCTCCAGCCTCCCTCTTGTCCATTTTGCACCCAGCAACCACAGGATGCTTTCTAAAGGAGCCCTCTGCGAGGCAAACCTGACCCCTCCTGACCCTAGGCCTCCAGAGTGCCTAGGGTTCCCCCAGCCCCAGTCTGGCCCCCCATCTCCCTGTCTCTCCATCCCTCCCCATCTCTCCATCCCTCCCTGTCTCTCTATCCCTCCCCAAGCTTCTGGTGGGTCCCAGCTCACCCTCCCACCCCGGGCCTCTGGCAAGCTTCTCTTTGAGCATCATATTCTGCTTTGGTGTTGCCTTTCTGCAGGGATCATCTCCCGGGATCCCTCTCTTCCAATGGTCCTGTGCTATGGTCTGAAAGTTTGTGTCTCCTCGAAATTCATATGTTGACACTTAACCCCCAAGGCAATGGTATGAGGAGGTGAGGCTCTTGGGAGGGGGTGAGGTCATGAGGGACCCACCCTCCTGAATGGGATTTGTGTCATCATAATAGAGGCCCCAGAGGCTGCCTTGTCCTTCCCACCACATGGGCCACAGCAAGAAGAATCCATCTGTGAACCAGGAAGCAGGCCCTCACCAAACCTGCTGCCACCTTGATCTTGGACTTCCAGCCTCCAGAGCTGTGACAAAGAAATTTCTGTTGTTTCTAAGCCACCCAGTGTGTGGCGTTTTGTTCTAGCAGCTGAACAGACTAAGACAAACTGTGTGCTTTAAGTGCCACTGTGTCACTGCCCAGGTCATGTGGGATGTGGGGGCAGTCGTGAGTGACGGTTCTGTCTCCTCTACTGGCAGGTGAGATCCCCAGTCACAGGATCAAGGTCTGACTTCATCCTGGGGTTCACAGGGCAGAGACCCAGGTCCCACAAAGATGATGTGCTCAGGAAGCCACAGTGGAGCCCCAGATGCATCAGGTGAGTCATGCTGGTGCCACAGGCTTGAATTGGGCTGGCAACAAATAGGCTGGGGGGTGTCAGGTGGGCATTACCTCTGGGCTGTTCTTACTTGGGGCAATGTCTCCATTATCTTGGGGCAGTGCCTCCAACATCCCTTTCCAATTCAGCAACTGCACAACACCTGACTTTTGAAATAGACATTTACATCCCTGCCTGAAGGAGCCAGGACCAACTTGCTTGGAGGATCTGTGCATGGGGGACCCACCTGGGCTCTAGCACAGCACACACTGCTGAGCCAAGCACACAGGAGACCACAGGCCCTGCTGCCCTCAGACCACAGATGCAGCCCCAGCTCACCATGGGCATGTGCCCCCAATCAGACCTCTTTATGCAGCACTCCAGCCTCATGCCTCTGCCACACCCATTGTCCCACTCACCCCACCCTCTCCTGAGCTGCCCGGTGTCCTCATCCCTCTCCTAAGCAAAGAGCCTTCCTCCTCACAACCAACACCTTCACCTGGAATGAGTTTTCCTTGTCCAACTCTCTACCTATCCCCAAGGCCCAAGGAAGGGGAGGGAGAGGAAGTAGGGGGTAGGGGAGTGTTGGATTGTATTGATTATCTGTGTTCTAGCCCCTCAAGAGGTGCTTTACATCTGGTCCCTCAAGACTTTACTCTGTGGGACATTCCGTGGCTAAACTTGTCCCCTAGATGAATTTCTCCCCCACAAGCAGATCCACCAGTCAGGCTTCCCCCATTATCTCCAGGCATCCCTGGAGAAATTTGTCCCCACCCACCCAACCCAAAGACTTGAGTCTTATTCACCAGTGATCAGTGACTCACTCTAAACCAATGCTAACCAATATATAGGATGCCAGCAATAGATTCATTTTAAAATTTCCAGGAATCATATTTTTTTAAAGTAAAAAGAAATTGATTATTCAACAAAGCATATCCACAAATGATCATTTAAACATGCATTTAACATAAACAATTAATTAATGGTTAATTAATGTGGTCCTTTTCTTGTATTTACCCTGTGGGAAGTAGAAAAGTTCCTTTTTAAAGTTTTCTCGTTAGAGAATAAGTGTGCTAATAACTTTGTTAAGCACTATCCTATGCAGCTGTTAGACCTGCCATGCTTACAGGCACATCGTATATTCTGTGTCTTTGTACTTTAACCAAGATATCTGTGCTGGACTTGCTCACAGGCATGTCCCAGCTCTCCATTGCTTTTACCTGTTTAGAAAAGTTTTAAGTTATTAGCTGATCGGGTTTTAGTTTAGATTGTGAGTTCTGGCTCCAGCCAATGGAGATCATTCACAGCAGTAAGGGCGACCCCAAATGTGTAAGAAAGAAATTTGGGTGTTTTCCTTTGTTCTTTGTACTCTTGCAGCAAGATGGTTAGTGAGTACCCTTCCTGCAGTCCAGGAAGTAAAATTGCGTTGCTGAAAGATCCTTTGTCTCAGTGCTGATTTTTCTTTGCAGCACCAAGCACCTACGTATTTCCAACAACAGTGTCTTCGGAATGCGGTGCGTATTGGACACTTTGAGCGGTGCGTATTGGACTCCATGTGAACCAGACACTGTTGGCTGCACCTGCTCAGCGGCCACCGTCCTGAACAGAGCAGCTCTAGACATCCTGTAATTCCCCTGGATGCAGGGCACAGCTTTCACGTGGGAAGTCTCAGGTTCCTCCTCAGTGAAAGGGCGATGGCGGTAGTAGCTACATCATAGGGCTGTTGGGGAAATTTAAGTGTTCCGTGAATGCTGGCTGCTGGTGGGCACGCGCGTCTGTGTGCTCACACCGTAGTGTGTGTTAAGCATTGCCCTTGTTAGGTGAACTATTTTCAAATTGAATTTCCCTAGCTTATTCACTCAACAAGAGTGTACTGGACATGCCAGGTGCTATTCTACCTGTTGGGTCACAGTGAACAAGATGGACACACTCCTCGCCAGGTGTGGGCGTAACAATGCAAGTTTGTAAGCCTAGAGATTCTGCTCAGCCCCTGCCCTGCACAGCTGCCCTCAGGGCTTCCAGAAGTTCAGACTCCGGCCACCTCCTTTCTGGTTGTAATGTGGAGGAAGGTACACTAGGTGGCGCTATCTGGCCACATTCCGCTTTCAGCTCCTGCCTCTCTTCTAGATGCCAGATCTTCAAACTTCCAGAGCCCCAGATTTCCCAAGACCACCAAGATTATCTGAGACTCTAGAGTCTCCCCAAATTCCTGTCTCCCAGACCCCACATCTCCCAATTTCGCACCCCCCAACCTGTGACTTTCCATACACTAGATTTTTAAGTTCTCAAACCATCCCAGAGCCCCAGACCCTTAAAACCGAATCCCAGAACGCCCCGACCCCATAACCTCCAAGCCTCCAAAACTCTCAGAACTAGATACCCCAGGCCCCAGCACCTCCAGCTTCCCAAACTCTACTCCTCGGGCCCCAAACCGTTTGTCACTCCTTCCCTCCAGACCCTCAGACCCCAAGACTCTACAAACCCCTACAAACCGCCCCCATTCTTCAGACCCTTCTAGACTCCTTAGACTCCTAGGAACCATCATAGCCCCGAAGCCCCTCAATGTCCTAGACCCATAGAACACTAGACCCCTGGACTCTGCACACAGATATAGATCCCCAGGCATCAGCTCTCCCGAGGCTCCTCCCATTCCCCAGGTCCCCCTCACCCCAAGATCCAGGGCTCAAGACTCCTCCCACTTCCCAACACAGTGGAACTTAGGGCAGGTGGGGTGGGAACTGACCACTTTCTGAACTGGAAAACAGGTTCCCAGCTCCACTTGGTGAGGTTCCAGACACAGAAGCTCAGGAATGCCACAGCTGTGAGGGACACGGTCTTGCCCAGATGAGCGAATCCAGGCCCAGAGAAGGCAGAACACGTGCTCAAGGCTCCCAGCCTGTGAGTAGCAGAAATCCACACCCGTGATTCCTGGGCTCACAGTAAATGCTCAAATGCTGGCCACAACCAGTGCATTGCTATTACTCACTCACGAAAGCACCTGCGGCCTAGCCTCAGCTCAGGCTGACCTCTCGGAGGCCCGACGTGGGACCATTCTATCTTCCGGAGACTGAACGATCAGAACACCACCCAATTTAGCAACATCTGCAAATTTAATTAACAAGCTGTTTATCTTCCTGGCTGAGCGATTAATAAAGGTGTCAGGCAGAACAAGGCCCTAAACAGCTCCCTGCCGAGCTCTGAAAATCCCCCTCCTTCTGCTCAAGGGGCCTAGCCATTTATCAGAGGGATGGGAGGGATGGGCTTGCAAGGACCAGAATGAATGGGGAGCGGGGGCACAAAGCAGGGAGTTTCTCGGAGTCGCCACCCAGACATCGTGCTCTTGTTCAGCCACGCAGCCCGTGGGCACCCACTCCTACCGTGTGCCTGGCATCATGCTGCAGAGACATTCGGCAAACACAGCACGCAGTTGATTGTCTACCAGGGCTGTAAGCAGTAGGAGGGAAAATTCTAAGTGCAAACTGATGTGGTCTCTTTCTTCACTGGAATTAATCAGCCAGACCACTCACCAACCACGACCAGCCGTGCTGCCATCACAGGACAGTGAGTTGTGACCTGTGGACCTGCTGTGTTCAGAGCCAGACACGCTTTCAGTGAGGAGCCATAGGAAGCTGCAGCCTCTGCTGTCAGCGATGCCATTTTGTCAGTCCCTATACATTTGAACTTTGCAGCTACAATCATCCTAACGTCTCATGGATTCTGGTTTTTCTGGAAGCGTCGCAGATGACAGGAATAGGTCCTGTGCAGCCACAGCTGGCGGCAGTCAGCATTGCTCATGATCATACTAGGGTGGCATCTGGCCATTCTGTCCCTGTAGCTTAAGGAACGGTCTCCTAGACACGTAAAGATGGAGACAGACACACCTAGCCCAACACAGGCCTCTTGCAGATGAGGAAACGGGGCGAGCTGCGGCATCCAGAGGCGAATTGGGGCTTGTCCGAGTCTACCCAGTGAGTTCGACGTGCAGCCACAACTAAATGTCACCCTAGATGCTTGCTCCAAAACAAAACACTACCCTCGGGTCTCAAAATAATGCCCTACTTCTGCCCTTATCCCAAGCCTGGGCTGTCCTCTGGGCCTGGGCTACCCACCCTGACCCACGTACATCCTGGGGAGCTGGGGGGTGCCTGAGCGGGCGGGACACCGGAACCTATGCTCAGCCTGATAAGAGCGAAATCCCAAGACGCCCCATAGTATTCTGGGAGACTCGTCCTCATCTTCACTCTGCCCACAAAGCTACAGCAGCCTCTTCTTTCTCCAAACTCTCAGGCCAATGCCTTTGCTTTTGAGTTCACTGGGGAAAGAGCAATCAGAGCAACGGAGCAGCCACGTCTTCCCGGCAGTTGGAATGGACAGACTGTCCGGGCCCCCACCCGAGGCCCTCCCCGCACTCCAGCCCATCCCACAATCTGCCACGCCCCTGGTCTCCCTCCGGTCCCCACAGCGCCGCCTTGTCCTCCTTTGCTTGCTCTTCCCCTTCTCTCGATCTTAAGAGGGTTCTCAGGGCTCCATTCAGGCACTCTCTCTTTTCTGCCCCTACGTGAACTCATCCAGGCCATGGCTTTTCACATGGTCCGTAAGCAGG